TCATTTATATGTATTAGAGTAATTAATAACTGTATAATGAAATGATTTGTAAACAGTAATGATATGGTCGTTACTGACTAACTTTCAAGTAGTTTTCTTGATTGTTTAATGACAATTTATAATTAGTTAAAATTGACTTATTTAAAAGTGATGCATTTACACCTTGATAATATTATGTCGTGAACTAACTGATTGAAGTTAGAGAACAAAAGTCATTGATTTTAATAAAGTTATTAAGAACTTATACTTACCTCGAGATCTAGGTATCTTCGGATTAGATCCCATATTGGGCAAGCTGGTGTATTCTACTGAGGTATTCTATGTAACACAAAGCATCTTTAAATAATACTTTATTTCATTATTTCATTGTAAACCAATGATGGGGGCGAAATTTCGGAAATAATTTTAATTTCGTCTTGATTCTCTCTTCAAATACCAATCATTTGTGAGTAACCAATGTTGCGTATATCAGTGCCTTCCTTGTGGTGGTCTAATTTTACTGATTAATTGAGTTAGACTAGTGGCCACTTTGTGACTTGATATATGAAGTTTGTTCAATACTAAGGGTTACTTCACATGCATAACACTGGTCATTACTCAGTAACCAATCAATAGTAAATTTATGCTATGAAATTTCACTACAGAATTATTCAACAAATATGTTTTGCCATTCGTAAAATATATATTTTTAGAAGCAGGCTTTTTTGAAATAAACTACTTAAAACCTTAATCTTCATTAAGATCGTATCAAGTCGTATTACAATCTATTCCTTGCATAACAACATTGTAGATGCTTTAAAATACTACATTTTCTTATGTATATTATCTCTCATTATAACTGTGTATTAAATTATCGATGATTACGCGGAACCACTTAACATCTAGATCAATATTCACACATACTGGAGAGTATGGTGATTCAGAAATAATATTTTCAAAATATTATGAAAGCATTTTGACTGAGACATAAGATCTGTTGTGAAAATGTTTTAATAAAGGCTAAGGATATAAAAATCAAGTTTTCATACAGTTTGACTAGACTGATATGGGTAAAATCTCATGTTTAATAAATTAACTTCCAATGCCTTTAGTCATACCACCCAGATATCTGATTAAATGATAATTTTAGGAAATAAAAACAGTCACATAAGGCTAATTACCTCCTTTATACTTCAACATTTTCCAAAATGTTCCAGGAATATCCACAAGGAAAATTATGGCTGAGAGTTGACAAGATATATGAATTGTCATACTAACCCTTTTTTATCTCTACGAATAGGGAAATAACACATGGCAAATAATCGGATTGCTGATGACCATCCTATAAATATTCATAACTACAGGTGCGACAAATTGTCAGATAATCAGACTAATTTTGTCCTAAACTTCGTTTTGTACAATACTATCATAACTTTTCTCAGACAGTTATTCACTGGCATTAATAATTTCACAATAATTGATATTCATCATTTTTGTAAAATAGATATACTTCTGAGGAAACAGACGATTTACTCAAACGTCTTATGCAGTTTTCTTAAAGAAATATGGCCGAAGAATTACACCAACGAACCTTATTAACATAGTTCTTATTTCACTTCAAATTAATAAGGTATAACATCAAACGTGTCTTTGAGTGAGCCGACTTCTGACAACTGTTGTTTGTTGTAGGCATGTACTAACTACTGATGCACTACTAGTAGTATGTTTTTTGAACTAGTGGCTCCTAACAGTTAGTACCCACTGTAGGGAATTCCAATCTCCTATCTCCTTTCAAATTCCTAGTGGAACTGATATCTTGATTTAAGTAGAATATCAAATGCTGAGTATTGTTGTTTGCATCGTTACTGTTATATGATAAGAGTTAACTTATCAAAGCAACATAACAATAGAAAGAAATTACAGGAGACTTTTGTCTAAGTTATTAACATATCATTGATCGGTTGACCATTCGGGAACTAAAATCCGAAGGTAATATTCAAAACATATTGTGTCACATTTTCTTCCAACAAAACTCTTTTATAATAAAGAAAACTTGATCGCTCCCCTCCTACCTATGTGTTTCACATACATATTAGTTTTGCTTTCTTTACTATTATGATTAGATAGATAGTTATCAACTCTTTTATTGTCAGTAAGCAGTAGTTAGATATACTTGATAACGCCTGATATTCCTTGTGAAGGAACATCTGTTATCCACCAGCATTCTTCATCCAACTCTGATTTGGGCAATCCTTTCCAGCTGTTTCCAGTTGCTATTCATTCGTTTGATTTCTGTTTACAATTCCCGGCTCCATGTTTTTTTTATTGGTCTTTCTCTTTTTTCCCCTTCAGGATACTAAGTCAGCACTTTCCTTGGGATGCAGTTTAATGATTTCCATAACGTATCTCCTATCCGCTTTCAAAGTCTTCTAATTTCCTCTTCAACTAGAAGCTGTTTCGTTTTCTTCCATACCAGGTTGTTGCTGATAGTATCCGACCAACGGATATTCAGTATCTTGCATAGACAATTGTTTGTAAATTCCTGTACTTTTTTCAGTACAGCTGAAGTGGTTATCCAAGTTTTATCACCGTACATAGAACTGTCTTGACGTTCGTGTTGAAGATTCTGACTTTGATATTGGCTGACAGTTGTTTTGAGTTCCATATGTTATTCAACTGTAGGAATGAAGCCCTTGCTTTGCCAATCCTTGCCTTTACGTTCTCATCGGATCCTCCTCGTTCGTCGATGATGCTGTCCACGCACGTGAAAGTTTCCACCTCTTCCAGAGTTCCTCCATCGAGTGTGTCTGAGTTGGTGCTCTCTGCGTTTTATTTCAGGATCTTGCTTTGTCCTTTGTGTATTTTGAGGCCTATTGTTTCCGAGGTTGCTGCTTCATTGGATGTCTTAGTCTGTATTTGTTGGTGTGTATGGGATAGAAGAGCTAGGTTTTCTCGCAAAGTCCGAATCATCTAGTTGCATCCAACCTGTCTATTGTATTCCGTGCTCCCATAATCCATTCAACCACTAGAAGAATGATAAAAAAGCAAGAGTAAACAGCCTTGTCTGACATCGGTCTACACATGGAGTGCATCTGTCAGCTGTCCTCCATGCACAAGCTTGCAGTGTAGTTCGTCGTATGATGTTGACGATCGTCTTAGGTACGCCATAATGCCGAAGAGGGTTCCATAATTTTCTCGTCTCCACACTGTCAAACGCTTTCTTATAGTAAAGGATTAAATTAACATATTGTTCATTCAATTAGATAATCACCAGCCAAATAATATCTTCTATTTTAATTAGCAAATATACTGATTATGGTTATTTTAAAGACTTTTATCAACTCAATAAATATTTTAGATAATATTTTATTCTTATAAGATGAAATCTACTACATGTTTGCTAGGTTTGAAGCTATCACGAGTTCACTTAGTGTGTGAACGAGAAACAAGACTCGATGACCAAAGACCAGTAAGCCAGCTATTGGTGCGTCCCAGTCTCGCTAACTAGAGGGAAAAGTCCAAACTTGGAATGGGGAAGTATATTCTCCAAAACAGTCAGAAACGAGCGATAACAACAAACACAATTCAAAACGTATATATACAGTACAAAACCGTCCTTGGGGAGAGTTCTCAAATAGCATACTGAAAAGACGCAACGGACCAATAACATTTAAGATATTCCCTAGTGGGAAATACGACATGAAGGTGACAAGAGCGCCTTTGGCGCGAAAACAAAGAACTTCAAATTTTCTAAATAAAATTACAAAATTAGGTTCTTTCTCAAGTGCATTCTGGGGATCTAACGTCCCCAACAATGTTGTGAAAATATTATCAGTTTTCGCTAATTATATAGAGAATTGCATTAAGGCTGTTTTGCATTATCTGTACTATGTTACAGTTCCCACAGTTTTAAATAGAAACTTACAATATACTTTTCTAATAAGTTTTTTTTATTAGAAGAAAATTTTGTTACCTGAAAAATATTATTTATTCAGTTTAGTATAAGTATAATATTAAATTCTATTTAATTTCAATGGCATATGATAAATTTTGTTTTCTCACATATATTCTGTTTAATAAACTTTCATTTTGAAAATTTTTTAATCGCAACTGATTAGATTCAATGTAAAATTTAGGCGTTCGTGCACGAGATCGATAGGTTTTGGATACGAATTCCAAGAGTGGGGTCATGGATGTGTACTGTTGAGGAATCCCACATTAGGACGAGACAGTCATCCAGTGCTTCCAGATTTTCCGTGATGGTCTAGCTTTAATTGAATCATGAATTCAACTATTAAACTACTATAATATCCATAAAATCGCTTTGTGATTCTAAAATTTAATTATTACTTAACATTTTATAGTTAAGACACATAAACTTAATATATTTAATGAACTTTTAGAAATTCTATGTATTTTATTGATGTGAACTTCATTTTTATGGCGGAGCACTAATTAACCATGGAAAACCTGGAAGCACTGGACGGTCGTTTCGTCCTATTGTGGGACTCCTCAGCAGTGAGCATCCACGGCTTCGCCCCCTGTGAGATTCGAACGCAAGACCTATTGGTTTCGCACGCGAGCACTTAAGCACTAGACCACTGAGCCGGCATCCATTTGTGTTAATGTCTAACTTCAACTAATCCACGAAATTGAGCGATACATTCACCATTGTTTTTAGTGAGTTACTATCTCACAACAGACCTGGTTGAACTCCACTGGTCACTACTTCTCACTAGAACTCCAGGATATATCTCGTGAAGCCAGTCACTAGTGAGCATATGTTGATTAATATCAGAAGGGGTTTTGTGGAGATTGTAGTAATTTCAATGGTTAAGATCATGAGTCAGTTATTTGTGTAAACAAATTTTATTTCATTCCATATATTTTTTATACAGAGACAAGTTTACAACTTTTTGATTGGTTGAAATATTATTCACTGACCTTGAATGGTAACACGCACCAATCCTGGGTTTTTTTAATGATATAATTAATTATACAATCCGTATATAAATAAATATTATTGATCAATCAGTAATAATATTACTTTATACTTTATAAATATGGGCCCATTTCTTATTTTATATCTAAGCTTAATTATCAGTTTTATAAATTGTAATAATGAAGAAGATGAATCAGATTTATCGATCATTGTAGGTTCTATTCATTAATCAATTGATGAATCATTAAAAAATTTAAAAAAACCTTATAGACTGAAGAATTAATGAATGCTGGTTTCGATTATGCTAATCTATTACATAAATGGTTTGAAAAAAATATTGGAAAAAATGAAATTAAAATAATTAAACAAAATATAGCGAAATTTGGAAAATTAGCATTAAATTTTATTGATTCAAGTAAGTAGTTATGATAATGATTCAATCAATAATCATGATCAATAATTTGTTGTTTTTTTTGTTTTTTTTTCTTAATTGTAGCTATACAAAACTTAATTAAAGATGATGATGATAATGAGGATTATGATCATGATCACGAATATAATGATTCACAATTAAAACATAATGAATTATAAAATCAATAATTTTGTACTGTATATACATATACATATACGTTATTTTGTAAAATAGATTAATGTGTTCTTTGATTGAATTAAAAATAAACTCCATGGATAAAAAATGTTCTTTTTATTTATTATTATAATTGTAAAATTGCTTATTCGTAAACAGGAAATATTAGTGTTTGCGAGCTATAGATTAGATTGAAGTATACTCAATGCACGATTGCTTTGGTGTACGTTAGTCGATACTTGGAGGAAATTCTAGAATCTTCTCATGTAAAAATCATAAATATACTAACATTTTCACTACTATACTTCTTACTTCCATTTAACCTTGTTACTTTCCTGTCCAACTGTGTTCTGATTTGGGGACTTGTCGAATGAATTAGTGTACAAGAATACTAAGCAATAGGAATAGTTGGGTCGTAATAAGAGAGAATTATAACAATTAGATTATTATTTTTACTAATATACTTTAACTAGTGATTGGTTAGATGTTGCTAACAGCAGATTCATATTTATTTCTGTCTTTTTTCTTTAAGAGGTATGATGTATTTTTTTCCCAGTTGAACTATCAAAAATAACAATATTGTAAGTAAGGTTATTACAAAAACGTTTTACTAAGGGGTAACAGGTAGACTTTGCTGACAAGTGCCAAAAAGCACGAGACTCGGATTCAGGATTTCTTGTTGACTACCTCCAACCACCATCTTATCTCAACATAGTGAACGCAATTTCGAGTCACCTAGACTAGTGACCACATTGCAACTTGGTCAATAGCATTCGATTTGCACTAAGAAGGACTTGATACACATGACATTGATCACTACTCAGTGAACACAACTCGATCTTACTGTATATCAGTCACCAATCTGCATTTTTTGAGGTTCGTTGTAATTAATAATAAAGATTGAATTCTATGTAATTAAGCCTAGTTACTTCACTAGTTTAACTGAGTAAATAAGTTTAAAACCTTCGAAATTCCTGAAAATTGATCAATTAAATGCAGAAAAAAACGAATATTTATTCGCAGACCCGTTACTAAGTACAGTTTAAAATAAATAAACCTTTGTGAAGAATATGGATTATGATTTACAGTTGATGGTTAAAGTTCAGTTTTCATCACGAAATGATATCACTTAAAATATCAAAACTCTATTTAGTCAAATGGATAAATGAATTTCGTGCAAACATTCGACACATGCTATCCTACATCTGATTGGTTCGTTCATAATTTATAGTCTAGCCAACAAGTTTCATTGAAATAGCATTTCTTTCTGATATATATCATATTAATGTAAATGTCTCTGGTTAATCTGCAATGGATTATAGTGAATGAATAAAGAATTACAAAGCTATTATTCTATTTGTCACCGCGCTGATAATTATAACTATTCTAATTGAAAACACTTCCATGACAGTCACTGTAAAAGTAGATGGCTATTCTGATATTAATTTGTTGAAATTGAATTGGTACTTGAAAGTTATCTGAAAAACTGAAATTACTTGATTGTCTTTAAGAAATGAGACATTATTATTTAACCATAAAGTTTGTAAGTATCATTAGCATGGTTCGACTTAATAATTTTGAACAGACTGAATAGATATAATGATATATTTGTCAAGTTCAAGTGAGTAGATAAATTACTACGTAACATTTGTTGACTTAATGTAAACCAATCCATCAAAAAATAAATAACTTAATTAATTAAATTAACATATGTATTCATTTATTTGTTCTCTGAAGAGGTGGCTTACATTAAGTTAAGAAACACCATAAATTCAAATTTCTTCACATTAGGACGTTATGAATATACAAATATTTACATAACGGTTAAAGTAAATTGATGTATTGAATCATCCTATAAATTAATAAGAAATATTTAACATTGAAGTCACAATGTCTAATGAAAAACGAATTACTAGGAAATATATTTAGGCAACATGATCAATTGAATGAACAAACTTAAAAATGTGAACTAACTGAAAACGAACGAGAAACGCATAAAATCAAGATATAACGCACAAAATAAAGCGTCACTCAGACGAATATCTAAACTGCAGCTTCATCAGCCCTAAAGACTAAATGAAGATTATATAGATGAGACCACTCAATCAATAATCAATTTACAGATTTCAAGATATTTAGTAAAGATTTTTAGCATTTACCATCTTCTAACTGATAAATTTGTCTGCAAAAACAGTGAAACCTTTTTAAATAAAGTAGGTAGCTGAAAAGATCACATAATTTTTCAAATTTACCAATGCAAGATTGAAGATTATCTTCTAGCTAATATATAGCTCTGTTTACTACAGTGACTGAAAAACAGATCGCTATCAGAAGAGCATCAAAACAAACAAACTTTACATCAGTTGCCATTTCGCATCACTTTTAGTCAAGAATTAAAATTGATACTCCTCAGTATATTATCAAGTTACTGGATTTCAAATTCACAAGAAATCCAATGTTTCATCTCCAATTATTACACACTGCATCTATCATTGTCCAAACTATTAATCTAACAACCTGGATTACTTTATCATTCAACAGAATCTCTCGAATCTACTACCAATTTAAAAGTCAGTAGGTCCATCTTCGACGAGTATCAATTCAAATGTATCAAAATAAATCATGTTTAACATGCAGCACTGGGATGTACACTGAATATTTTGTAGAACTAGAAATAGTTAATTTGAGACAATTACAAAATCGAATAAATTACTGAACAGAATTACATGTATTTAAACTTGCTGTTATTGTTGAGATATTTAGCAACGTAATGACAATGATGAAGGCATGAAAACTGAATAATGACTAATAAGTAGTAATTTACCGAAATGATTATAAGTAACATCGAGTTTCCCTGTACGTTAAGATGCTGATAAAAATGGGAATTGTTAAACGACTAACTCATATAACAGATAGATTTGGTTTGTGCAAGTAAACTTTTGTAAGTTCCACTATGTGTACATTTCGAACTGTTGGAGCATAGTGTTAGTTGGAAGTGAGACAACAGATAAGCCATTAACAATTCAGGATGCTGTACAGCATCGGCCGTACCTGCATAAACGGAAAATATAAAATTTTGTATATTTATCGATATCTCACTGATGATCTCACTGACAATCAATCTACCGCCTATAAACATTATTCTCTATAAAATCATCAGAACTTTCGCTTAAATTTGATCGATTCATGATCTCAGTCAAAAACAAACACTCTCCACAACACAACATCGATCATAATGATTTTCATTATCTCAAAACTACGTCGTCTAACTACACTTCACAATAGATAATGGTTAGTGAAAAAGTTAAACAACTGATTGATTAATAATTTGACTCCTTGTAATATACTAGTAAGTGTAAATATTCGCGAAAATTTTAATGAATAATCCTATACTACTATTTAGTGAATGAATCACCCTAAATGTAGTTGAAGAGATTCATCCTGCAAAACCACCTCTATCCAAAGTGATGATAATTGTAATTGATTTCACATGATCGTCAACTGATTAGAAAGAAGGAAATGATCCAACAGGATAAAAACCTACAATCTACTAATAATACTTGATTGATGCAGGACTCTATTTTCGATTTGATCCGTTGGACACCATACAGGCATGATAATATATAATAAAGAAACCGTCCAATAATTCGAGATTTCCAACGAGTCCCTAACTGGTCTCTACCAATGTTGAAAATCAACTTTAGAATTCGCTTCTCGTTACTAAACTGCAGCTGCAACCAACACCCCAATGGAGAACACACAAATCGATCAATCGTGGTGACTTGAAATAACGGTCTAATTACTGATATAAATGTTTAAATGATATATCACGTATAATTGTATTCAAAAATCATACGTTCTACTCTATTCATTTCGAATTAGTTTACATTAAGTCAACTAAGCGAAAGGTATATGGACTATAGTTCAGTCTGGTTTTAAATACCTCGATCATTAATGTAACAAATTAAATAGGTTAGACAAAAATACTTTGTTTTTGAAAGTGTAACCAATTCTCTCTATGATTCCAATGCATTTGACCTATATGTATATATACGTCAGTTGTGTGCGTCTGTAAATTCAATTTTGTAAACATCACCACATAAGTATCATAAATGAGAAGTGCACATAAATCTTAAGCGATAAACTACCTTGATATGAATTACACTTTATTGAATAGAATTTATAAACGTAAATTATTTGTTTGTATGTAGGTGTGTATCAATGACGGTGATTTGAACACGATGTAAAGTCGATGGAAATTTTATAATCCTTACAAAGACCTACACTGAGAACAGTTTTCTGTCATAAAGCTCTCCCACAGGACCAGAATGAAATCGTTAAGAATAACTATAGTTGAACCTAATAACTAGGATCACTTTGATGGAAAAACGAGTCAATTATAATAGTCTATCACAATTTATCATGTTTATTTTGTACTAAATTTTCCATATCGTTTTATTGCACACAAAATCCTATTCTCCAGACTATCGACGTTCTCTATGATTCCTATGCATTCATAGGCTTGCGTCAATAATACATTCTCGTTCTCGGTCATCACATCATATCATCGAGTCCATATATCAACTAGCATTTTACCCATTAATTTGAAACGTGGAAAATCCCGTTCAACAACTCACATACTATTCATGTAATGCAGAAATCACAAGTTTGTTACTCACAGAGGACGCAACAAATATAAAACGATAGTCCTTGTTCTGATTATCTCACCAGAACAACGTGACACGATTTTATTTGTATTTATCATTTAACCCTGTCAGGAAGCTTTATTTTGTTGGCTTAATACATTGTCTCGTTTTAAAGTTTTCTGAATAAAAACATGAGACAACCTGATAATAAACGAATGATTTTGAACTGAAACGATTAAAGTAATGAAAACTGACAAGATATTCTGCACTGATGTGCATGTGTATTTGAAACTTCTAGATAAATTACTCATCAACTGTTTGAAGTGCCTAGGATCATCAAAGTGAACAGATAATTGGATAAACGTTTCAGTCAATGGTAATGTCTTGAGTTGACATAGTGAGTGAAGTAGGTACGAATTTATTGGGTGGTATCATCTCTCTTGAAATTCCAGATATACCTCATTGATAATTGTCAAGTAGCAAGTGACTTGGACAAAGATGTTTTCTTTAGTTTCCTTCAATCAACTGGTGTGTATTTAATTCATGGTATATTTTGAAGAGCACATGGCTGAATTGCTACAGGCTTACTGCAAGCTACAGATATGAGCTTCTCGTCGATTCTTTAGGGAATGTAGATTTTCCAAGTATCTGAATGTCATCTTTGGAAGTTTGTTTTATTCGAGTTGACCCTGTCAGACGGAATAATTTATTTCGTATATTATTGAGATTTGTGTTGCACAATCAGCAGACGGGATCGTTTTGACGAACATTAAGAAATTCCTTGAATTATATCTCTATCTGTGTAATCTCTATTGAATATTCATTCGACATATGTTGGCATGTCTAAACTTGACTTAGATATCAACCAAACAAAGGTTGATGATACACCGTTTTTCTTAAAACAGGAAAATTCATACTCGTACTACGGAGTATAGTCTATTTCTACATTATTTTTCGGTAGAACAAAATTTCAGTCACATATAAATTCAGTTTTGTTGTACCTGAATAAACAGGCAATAGATCATTTGAAAACATTATTAATGAAGGAGTTTACATAGAAGAATGGAACGATTAGTACTTCATAACTAAATTCTATATTGACAGTAAACAAAATTGTACTCGTTATGTTCACTTTGCAGATCAATTAACCACATTCTGATTCATGTTGTTATGTGAAAAATTTGTAATAAGAAGAAATTCCTCAAAATTTACGTTCCCAACCTAAGGTTTATACTCTGGAATCGATTGTTGATAATGAGCATCTCTACAACTATTCAGAAAGCAACGTGAAACAGATATGTGGAATAAATAAATTACATGAAGCTATGAGATGAAAATCTTTCTAATTGATAGTAATATAAAAAGTAATAAAATCATTTCATACCATACATTTAGTCACAGTGGGGAGTTCGCAGCATTAATTGTGTCATGCTACGGAAAAATGGTTCTCTAGCATTCATTTAAATTGTAAGAATTCAACACTCTCAACAGTCCGCATCTTCCACTCGTATTCAATCATCAGTTTTTTCTATCAGTTCACTTGCTTCAGCTAGTAAATCACTGAATTAGGTGGATATAGGTTGTCCGTAGTATACAAGCAGTGCGAATCACACACGGTAATTAAAATATTCACATTATTATCAATAATTCACTGGTACAAATCTGGAGATAGTGATTTCCATGGCTTCCACCTTTAATTTCACCTTTGGTCTATTCACCAATATTCAATGCATGTACACTTGTTTCCGATAAACAAACAATGCAAATTCTCAATTGTTTCCCTTCTCATCATTCACTCCATAGCTATCTGTTCAAATTGCATTCCTCTAAGAACACAACATCATAGAAGAAACATTTCTTGATTTCGTGAAATAATATGTTGTGATATATGGCTTCGAAATATCAGTATGAATGTGTTGACTATCAAATTCAATAAATTCAATACTTTTGTGGAATACATGTTACCACATGTGATAGTAATTTACTCGGACATACGTGAATAAACATTAAATGGTTTGTAGACTAATACATGATGAACAGTGCTTTAATAAACGGTTTGCACGGTTTTGTTTCTTCCATATACTCATGTGATTGATTGAAATTGTCACGTGGCGACAGTATTACCTAGTCAGTCATCATTGTGAGTTGCCAACAAACATTAGAATAATACAAGACAAGAGGGTAATCAGACAACTCTATCATGTTGCAGTTAAACTTAAGTGGTTTCTTTCTCAATCGCGGCCTATATCCAAGGGGAAACACATTAAATTGCATTATATTGGAAATCGTGTTTCAATAAAATATATGCAGAAGATGATTGGTGAAAATTGTACTAGTATTGCTGTTGAATATAAAAGACAACGATTATATATAAGCTCACATTGCACGAAATAGATTTTTCATCTGAATTACCGAAGTGGTACAACGAAGTAGACAACTTTCTTCCAAATCTTGTACAACCTGATTACATCAATCAACCAATATAGTTTACCCTAAACTCACTTTGAAAATCACTGGTCCTACTCTTCCATAACTAAGACTGTTATCGCTGTAAATTTAATGAAGTATATAGACCAACATTCACGAAATGACCATAAAAATTAGTAGATAACTTCTATCATTTTGTTTCGGCTCAGAGACTGTTGAATTTCTCACAGTTATCTATAAACCAACCATGAAGACGGGAAATGTGTGAGGCATTCATCCTTCACACGTACACACAATAATGGCTGGTAAATCGGATGTTTCATTATTCCATAAATTCTACAAGAATACGTAACAATGATGCAAACATCCATTAAATCACATCCGCAATTAATAAGAAAATCTCGATCATATAACTAACTATATTTTACCAGTTCCTTAAGTTCCAGATAAATTATTCCGTACGAATGGGACCACTCAAACGACATATTGATTATAGGAGATCTGAATTGTTGAATGACAGATGCACTAGTGCATGAATTGAACTTGAATTCCAGATCAAACAAAAGCAACTCAAATTGTGGACAGTATACAAATTTTATTAAATTACACATTGAAAACATGTAGAAAGAAACGTTTTAGTTACAAATATAATCAATCGATTGTAAATTATTTTCAGTGGTTGATTGTCCATGCATTTTTATTGGCACAAATGGGCTGATTGCTTGATTGACATGTAGTTGTGAGTTCATGAGCAAATCCTTTTAAAACGTTTATTAAGTCGTTGAAGAACTGAAATTAAGAAAAGTTGAAAATCACATTAAAAATTCTTACTATCCAGAATACATTGACCATGAAATAGGTTTCCAACGAACATAAAATTATCAAAATCTTATCACTAGACAAAAGACTGTGTAGTGAATCATATGTAAATTTCCAACCCGTTTCATCAATACTTATGAGATTGATCACCACCCATTTCTTGAAAATATAAATCATTTTCAGTTGCACAGAAACGGTTTCTATTTTGTGCATCTTTCAGTATGTTGCTCAGTAGATCTTTTTATTTTATTTATTTACTTATTTAATCTAATATTATATAATCTATCTATCTGTTTATCTGCCTGTTTGTGATCAGTTTATTATAAAGGTCATTGTCCATATCATTAATATTTTGATAGTGGGACTTACGAATATGCACAACTTCATTCACCTTCTGACCCAAACCATCTTCTTTGAAATATTCCTCCACCATTCCATTGGTTTTGGTCGCGCATATTTTCAGACTTCCAAAAGTTTGTGCAGCCTCTAGAAACTGAACATTTTTAAATGTTACTGATAGGAGTATTGTATTTCAAGAACCTACCAAACTATTCATCGCAGGACCGGAGTTACATCTAAACAATAAAGGAAGAAAAGAAAACAAAGATATTTTACTAAGTAGTTTACATTTCAGTACAGTATTAATAAAGTGTGCTATAGATAGTGTTTATTTAATTTATTTTTCATACACACCGTTTTATTTCCACTATAAACAGTCACAACAGTTTCAATCCAGGGGCAGATAACTGGACAGCAAATATGTTATTCTGTTCACAGTGAATATCCTGACAATTGTGAAATAAATTTCTGTTGTTTCTAGCTCTATTTGGTTAATGATATGGCAAGAGCTTATCTAATATCTTTGTAAACGCTGATAGTGAATATTTACCCTCTATTGAACGAAACTTGCATTTTAAACACCATGAAAAACTGTATTGATAACAGATAAAAACCTATTCATGTAGTGTCCACATATATTCACTTATACATGTATTTACACTAGATATCTATGATTATCAGTGATTATATGTATATTTAAATATAAAATATGGCTTCATATTAACATGGTAATGTCAAGATTTATTGTCTAACTCGGTTTGAACAGCGAAAAAACAGACAGCCAGGGAGAGAATGAAGATTGTTTTCATCGTGATATGGAGACTTTCAACTTTACAAATGGATTACTCTCTTCCTTTTATATATTACCGATTCACGTTGTTTATGTTTGAACGTGTATGTTTGTGCAAATGGGTCATCGAGTGTTCACGTTCATCAATAAGGTCATTGGCATTAATAATTCAATTATTAGATGTGTGCGTTTACTCGTGTGATCATTGAACGATTCATACACCGAGTAGTCTAATCGATTGTCACATCTGATTGGATAGACCGCGATGTTCCAATCTATTTCATATTCCACATCAATGAGTGTTTGACTTTTTTGCTAAATACATTTCGATAAATTATTTCAAAACCAGACATTTCAATGTGTGTTTGACCTGATAAACATCAACTTTCGAGCTTTCATGCTAGTGCATAAAGTTTGTGTGCGAGAATGACTTACGACTGTCTGAGAATTCGCAATTGGAGTAGACTGTCGATAGTTAACTGGTACTAAGGTCATTGGTAGATAATTATAGATAGATGATATTTTTATGTGTTAACATTTCCGCATCTATTTAAATGTTTGATTATGAAACGGTAACGACCTATGGGTCACAGCTCTCATCAACTTTTATAGGTCCTTTAGTGGGAAATAAGTTTCTGTTTGGGGATGAGAAAATTTTTAATTCATTTGTCGTTAAAGATTAATTTGGGAATTTTCAATACAGTTAAAATAAATTCAGGTTAGATAAATCAAGACGTTAATTTAGAAGACAAAAAGAAAAGTAATCTTGTTAAATTAAGCGCACAACTGTAAATGGTATATAAATCTGATAGCTTGAAAAGAATTATAATGATGGTTTGAGATCTCGATTCTGGTGTTTTCCTTCACCCTTGAAAAGAATCGAGTGAAAAATGATTTCATTTCAACAAATATATTTACATATACATTAAAACAGAAAATTGGATTGATTTAACAAATTTAGTTTTCGTCACATATTTTGTAGTGGATTTGTATCCGCCTACCTATTATCTCGATGTGGAACTCATTCACATCACATGTTGCTGAAATTGATAACTTAATTGGGATAGAATATACTAATGATGTGATTTGACCTCATCATACACCACAAATATAATTAACGTTTATTTAACAAAATGTCTGGGCATAAAGAAATATCGGGAAGTACTAATTTTTTCTTGTTTTCAATGTTCTTAAAGAATAAATGTGCTTATGACAATCACTATCATAAACTGCTATAAAATGCTATTGATAGAAGGTGTTAAGAGATAAATCACATAGTCTATTGCAAAGGCAAACAATGAATAAACATTACATGTAATAAATAAATCACTGAGAAATTTTGTCATTTAGGAAAAAATCAAAAAAATTCATCTAAAATGAAATCCATCCACAGTAAAATGAAATATTGAGAAGACATTTCAAAGGAAACAATTGGAGTAACAAGTTGAATACGGATGCAAATAATCATAAGTTCAGCGAAATAGGTGGATAGATTAGATTAGAGCAAAGTAGATTAGATTAGATAAATAAGTAAACAAATAAACAGATCTACTGAGCAATATACTGAAAGGTGCACAAAATAGAAACATTTCTGTGCAACTGAAAATAATTTATATTTTCAAGAAATGGGTGGTGATCAATCTCAAAAGTACTGATGAATCAATGTGTAATCAGGTTATACAAGATTTGGAAGAAAGTTGTCTACTTCGTTGTACCACTTCGGTAATTCAGATGAAAAATCTATTTCGTGCAATGTGAGCTTATATATAATCGTTGTCTTTTATATTCAACAGCAATACTAGTACAATTTTCACCAATCATCTTCTGCATATATTTTATTGAAACACGATTTCCAATATAATGCAATTTAATGTGTTTCCCCTTGGATATAGGCCGCGATTGAGAAAGAAACCACTTAAGTTTAACTGCAACATGATAGAGTTGTCTGATTACCCTCTTGTCTTGTATTATTCTAATGTTTGTTGGCAACTCACAATGATGACTGACTAGGTAATACTGTCGCCACGTGACAATTTCAATCAATCACATGAGTATATGGAAGAAACAAAACCGTGCAAACCGTTTATTAAAGCACTGTTCATCATGTATTAGTCTACAAACCATTTAATGTTTATTCACGTATGTCCGAGTAAATTACTATCACATGTGGTAACATGTATTCCACAAAAGTATTGAATTTATTGAATTTGATAGTCAACACATTCATACTGATATTTCGAAGCCATATATCACAACATATTATTTCACGAAATCAAGAAATGTTTCTTCTATGATGTTGTGTTCTTAGAGGAATGCAATTTGAACAGATAGCTATGGAGTGAATGATGAGAAGGGAAACAATTGAGAATTTGCATTGTTTGTTTATCGGAAACAAGTGTACATGCATTGAATATTGGTGAATAGACCAAAGGTGAAATTAAAGGTGGAAGCCATGGAAATCACTATCTCCAGATTTGTACCAGTGAATTATTGATAATAATGTGAATATTTTAATTACCGTGTGTGATTCGCACTGCTTGTATACTACGGACAACCTATATCCACCTAATTCAGTGATTTACTAGCTGAAGCAAGTGAACTGATAGAAAAAACTGATGATTGAATACGAGTGGAAGATGCGGACTGTTGAAAGTGTTGAATTCTTACAATTTAAATGAATGCTAGAGAACCATTTTTCCGTAGCATGACACAATTAATGCTGCGAACTCCCCACTGTGACTAAATGTATGGTATGAAATGATTTTATTACTTTTTATATTACTATCAATTAGAAAGATTTTCATCTTATAGCTTCATGTAATTTATTTATTCCACATATCTGTTTCACGTTGCTTTCTGAATAGTTGTAGAGATGCTCATTATCAACAATCGATTCCAGAGTATAAACCTTAGGTTGGGAACGTAAATTTTGAGGAATTTCTTCTTATTACAAATTTTTCACATAACAACATGAATCAGAATGTGGTTAATTGATCTGCAAAGTGAACATAACGAGTACAATTTTGTTTACTGTCAATATAGAATTTAGTTATGAAGTACTAATCGTTCCATTCTTCTATGTAAACTCCTTCATTAATAATGTTTTCAAATGATCTATTGCCTGTTTATTCAGGTACAACAAAACTGAATTTATATGTGACTGAAATTTTGTTCTACCGAAAAATAATGTAGAAATAGACTATACTCCGTAGTACGAGTATGAATTTTCCTGTTTTAAGAAAAACGGTGTATCATCAACCTTTGTTTGGTTGATATCTAAGTCAAGTTTAGACATGCCAACATATGTCGAATGAATATTCAATAGAGATTACACAGATAGAGATATAATTCAAGGAATTTCTTAATGTTCGTCAAAACGATCCCGTCTGCTGATTGTGCAACACAAATCTCAATAATATACGAAATAAATTATTCCGTCTGACAGGGTCAACTCGAATAAAACAAACTTCCAAAGATGACATTCAGATACTTGGAAAATCTACATTCCCTAAAGAATCGACGAGAAGCTCATATCTGTAGCTTGCAGTAAGCCTGTAGCAATTCAGCCATGTGCTCTTCAAAATATACCATGAATTAAATACACACCAGTTGATTGAAGGAAACTAAAGAAAACATCTTTGTCCAAGTCACTTGCTACTTGACAATTATCAATGAGGTATATCTGGAATTTCAAGAGAGATGATACCACCCAATAAATTCGTACCTACTTCACTCACTATGTCAACTCAAGACATTACCATTGACTGAAACGTTTATCCAATTATCTGTTCACTTTGATGATCCTAGGCACTTCAAACAGTTGATGAGTAATTTATCTAGAAGTTTCAAATACACATGCACATCAGTGCAGAATATCTTGTCAGTTTTCATTACTTTAATCGTTTCAGTTCAAAATCATTCGTTTATTATCAGGTTGTCTCATGTTTTTATTCAGAAAACTTTAAAACGAGACAATGTATTAAGCCAACAAAATAAAGCTTCCTGACAGGGTTAAATGATAAATACAAATAAAATCGTGTCACGTTGTTCTGGTGAGATAATCAGAACAAGGACTATCGTTTTATATTTGTTGCGTCCTCTGTGAGTAACAAACTTGTGATTTCTGCATTACATGAATAGTATGTGAGTTGTTGAACGGGATTTTCCACGTTTCAAATTAATGGGTAAAATGCTAGTTGATATATGGACTCGATGATATGATGTGATGACCGAGAACGAGAATGTATTATTGACGCAAGCCTATGAATGCATAGGAATCATAGAGAACGTCGATAGTCTGGAGAATAGGATTTTGTGTGCAATAAAACGATATGGAAAATTTAGTACAAAATAAACATGATAAATTGTGATAGACTATTATAATTGACTCGTTTTTCCATCAAAGTGATCCTAGTTATTAGGTTCAACTATAGTTATTCTTAACGATTTCATTCTGGTCCTGTGGGAGAGCTTTATGACAGAAAACTGTTCTCAGTGTAGGTCCTTGTAAGGATTATAAAATTTCCATCGACTTTACATCGTGTTCAAATCACCGTCATTGATACACACCTACATACAAACAAATAATTTACGTTTATAAATTCTATTCAATAAAGTGTAATTCATATCAAGGTAGTTTACCGCTTAAGATTTATGTGCACTTCTCATTTATGATACTTATGTGGTGATGTTTACAAAATTGAATTTACAGACGCACACAACTGACGTATATATACATATAGGTCAAATGCATTGGAATCATAGAGAGAATTGGTTACACTTTCAAAAACAAAGTATTTTTGTCTAACCTATTTAATTTGTTACATTAATGATCGAGGTATTTAAAACCAGACTGAACTATAGTCCATATACCTTTCGCTTAGTTGACTTAATGTAAACTAATTCGAAATGAATAGAGTAGAACGTATGATTTTTGAATACAATTATACGTGATATATCATTTAAACATTTATATCAGTAATTAGACCGTTATTTCAAGTCACCACGATTGATCGATTTGCGTGTTCTCCATTGGGGTGTTGGTTGCAGCTGCAGTTT